ACGACGACGACGACGACGACGAGACCTGCTACTGCTCCTGCTGCTGCAGCTGGCTACGGGCCGATGCAATCCAACCCGACCTTTATCTTCATTGTTTGAAGTCCAGCCCGTCGACGAATGGCATGCAATTTCGTCACTGTAGCAATGCCTACGCTTGCACAATACCGACACATGCGCAGGTGCAAGTAGCAGTAGTGAAGGCCAAGAGACGTAGCGCAACCTATGGTCGTGCCACTCAAGAAGGTTTAGAGTTAAAGGGTTGTCAGTTGTGACAGCAAACAGTCAAAATGATGCAAAACACTAGCAGACGTCAGTAGTAGCACTCGGTATTTTGCCAATATATAGCATGAAGCCCCCAAGGCCAAATAAAAAGGCATGAGGAGCTTAGTAGTATAAGCACATTGACACAACAAAGAAACCCGCCAGAGATTTAGTTCTTCTACTACAGCTACCGCACGAAGTTGAACCGGCTTGCAGTATCCCTGCTACTACATGCCGAAGCTTCGTGGCGGCAGGAGCTGGGCATCCCAGCGAGGGCCGATGTGCTGGTACATATGGACTTGCTGCAGATCTACGAGTTCGAGGATGTCGGCAAGAAAGCCTCCTGGGCCTCTCGGCCGGATCAGGAAGACGTGCTTCTTCATCCGGTACCGATGAGACTGCAACATTGAGAGTCATTGATAGTGCTGAAAATGAAAACTTATGATGAGCGTGTCAACGGTGTCTATGTCTACCTGCTTTGTGGATTGGTGACACAGGGGCTAGAGCACTTGTAGCTTACTTAGCGCCGCCCAAGCTGACGCGAGCCGATTGCTTTGAGAATGCTTCCGCAAAGGTCAGGCTTAGGTTCATTGCAACACACCCCAGCATTTACGGGATTGGAAAACTGGTCGGAAGAATGTAATGCAAGGACCTGCCTGTGATTGGACACGGCCTGAGATGTCGCGCCTTCTTGTTCAAAGCAGCCACTGAGGAAGAGAACTTAGTCATGAAGAAGGCATCCCTGCCGCGGTTGGGGGAGGGCCACAGGTTCAGGGATGGAACTCGCAAGGATCCGTCTACTCATGAGCTCACTTCTGAAGGAGTGCCCTTTGGAAAGCCCTCCTTGGATGTTCAGGACTTTGGTGGCCCCATCATCCTGAATAAATAATTGTAAGTTAACATAAGCCTCCTTTGCTGCCTTCGTGCTGGTCCAGGAAGCTAGTGTGAAAAGAATGACTCTCTCCCTCTCTCTCTCTGTGGATGCCCGGGGCATGTCTCTGCGGCATCAGAGTTGCCATGCAGGCGTGGCTGGGAACGTTACTCAAAGCATTGTCCTGTGCCTTCCGACCCGAACGACCTTGCCTGGAGTAGTCCGACAGTGGGAGTTCAAACTGTGCAATCACTTAGGCCATCAAGGCAGTGCGAAGTCGAGTCTGTCCTGGCTTCGATGGTACCTGGTGCAAGGTCCCTTGGTGATGCCAACCATGGCATTTGCAGCTGAGTAGCGGTTCAAGGTTCAGGGTTAGTGTACTCGGTTTGCAAGGATTCGTACACTGATTCGTAAAAGTACATGGCTTGATCCGAGAAGGCTTTTTTCTTTGCGGTGCTCGTAATGGAACGTGGCTGCCCAAGTCTGTTCCTTTCGCTCTTCTCGAATTCGATCGTTCTAAGTCGAGCATCTGCATCCGCGAAGAAGGAGTTTACTGGCTTGATTTCGTAGTACTCATGTGTAGGCCTTTGCAGTCGCCGTGTACTGTTTCGGAAGAGTGTGTGGTATGGATGTCGACTGCTTGACACGTCTTTCGTCTTTAGCCTCTCAGAGCGCCTAGTTGGCGACATATGAACCTTCTGTGCTTGCTGCTCCTTGCTATCTTCAAACCAAGCCTAAACCTGGAGGGCCGTCTTGTGCTTGGGGCTTCTGCTTGGAGGCACCGAGAGAAGCGTTTGTTCAGGTTTTCCAAAGTTGCCATTCGGCTGCGCATCCCTGTAGGCCAAGCCACACCATCAGCCCCGAAAGTCTTGCCCTGCTCCGACAAATTTGAGAATGTCAGGTGAAGTTGCTGAGCGCCACGGTTGGTCAGGAGCTTGCCGCCACAGTATTAACACGCTTTGGGAGAGCTGGTGAGGATGAAGTCAGTCACAGTTTCATGAGACGCTCGACCGTCGAAAGTGTGAGAAGGCTTTCCCGATCAGACAGAACCCCCTGTCGAGGAGGAGAAGTTAAGTGAAGAAGTCATGGTCAACAGCGTCGTTGGCAATGGCGAGATGCCACCAGGCTATGAACTGGACACACACCCACAGGCACGATAAGCACAGTGACAGACAGACCGACACAGCAGAGAGAGACAGAGAGATAGAGAAACAGAAACTGATTCGGACGAGACGATTGGAGGGAAGACCAGGCCCCACGATCGCGCAGGTTCTGTAGGGCGTTATTCTCTCAAACAGAGCATCATGGGTGAAGAATTGCGTCGAGTGGAATCATCCCGAATCATCCCATAAGCACCTTTTCTCAACGCGGTTTTCCTGCTTATTCTGGCATGTGTGGGCAGATAATTGTCATCCACCACTCGAGTTAGCTCTGTACCAGAATCCTGTACAGACTGCCGGCCCGCCGAAGAAGTGAACCGAAAATTCGACGCAGCTGAAGGTGCGACGCTTTGGAAGCAGTGTGTGCCTGCATGCGCAAAGGACGGCTGGGTCACGGACACTCTGGGGTTTCGGAATGGTTTAGGGTTTAGGGTTTCAGTAGCTTTAAGCTGCGCCCTGATAGGAGAAGTCGCACTGGTTACGGTGAAGCCCATCCCATCTTTGTATTTGCCGGGTGTGCCGAACCTCGAGGCGGCACGGCAAAGACGTGTCTTCATTCTTCGGTCGGTGTAAATAGCCGGATGGCTAATTGCAATGTATGTTGTGTATATATATATACACATACACACGTAGTATACATACATACATACATACATACATACATACATACATACATACACAGAGCTGTGTTTTGGTATTTTAATTAGTTATGAAGTATGCAAATTCCAGACCTATCTATCGATGTATGTATGTATGTATGTATGTATGTATGTATGTGTGTGTATGCATGCATGCATGGATGGATGTGTGTATGTATACGCATTAAATGTATATACTCATCTGACCGTGTTCTGCCACAGTGCCTTCATTTATGTGTGTTCTTGGCCGTACCATGTTATGCTACATGTCGCATGTACAGACATGGGGCCAAAATACAACACAACACTACATGCTCTAGTCTTGTGCTAGATGGATCGTGAAGCTTCTTCCGGCGCCAGATATTGACCCCAGCAGTCCTCCCTCCGCTCCCCTCTCTTTTGCTTTTGCGCCTTCTCTCGCTCTCTCTTCCTTTTTCCTTTGTCTCTCTACCTGTTTACCTGACTGTGCTTTCTGTCTGTCTGTCTGTCTCGGTCCCTATATCACCTATATCTATTCTATGCCCGAGAGAAGAAGACAGAGAAGGAGATAGAGGGAGACAGAGCGAGCTCGTCTGACGAAAGAAGGCTCGGGGCTTCCAGGCTTGGGGTTTCAACGCGAGTGCAGCCGAGGAGGGCTTTAAACAAAAAACCATCTTCTGCATTTGAGACTAGGTGCCTGCGGAGTCTGGCAACGTGGTCTTCAAGCTGGAGATGGTCGACTTCGGCAGCTTTGGCCGGCAGTTTGGGGAGTTTAGGATTCCGGGTCCTGAGCAATGGCTCGAAAAAGCTTGTATATTTCCTGAGTCTGGAAGTGCCTATGTCTCGTTTACGGCATGGCCTTGCTCTGGGCTTGCAGGAGCTTTATCATCCAAGGGTCTTGCCTCAGGACCGCGAAAATAATCCAGAAGCGCAGAAAAGGCTGTCGCAGAATCTGGCTGAAGGACTTGCTATCTTCCAGTAATTCTAGCAGCGCCCTCAGGAAAATTGAGGCTCGAGGCAGCCTGTCGAACAGTTCACGAACCGAGACGAGATCGTAATATTGCCTTTTGAGAGTTTCCGGGTTTATTATTATGTGTTACTAGTATTATTCCTATTTTTGTCTTGTCAATGCACCCCACAACCTCCATAATTCTTTAAGGCCACCCATTTTCAAAATGTTGCCAGGCAATCCACCGCCGGAGGAAGGCCCCAGTGACTCAACAGACCTGCTTCCTGGCGCGCTGGTTGAGGCTCATGAAACCCCTGAGCCTTAAACCCACAAACCTATCCTGTGACCGAGTGTAGGGAATGTATCCTGCTCAGAAGGGATCTTGATACAAGATATCATCTATCATGCTCGGAATCTGCACCCCTTGCCTTGGGTCGATGCAGCCAAGTGAATCGCGGTCCTGGGGTACAGAAGTTCACCTGTCCTGCCGAGGCTGGAGTTCTGCCAAAAGCAGAAGGAGCGAGGAGCGGGAGCTGGGGAGCGGAAAGTCCCAGGTTTCCTAGTGGCTTCTCCATCATCACCCCACGCATACCTTCGGAGCCACGACTGCGACATTTCGCCATGGGCGGTACTTCAGTTTATACCCCTTATCATCGCGTGGTCTGTGCTTGGTCCTGCAGCCGCCTCGCTGGCTAGGCTCAGCTCACTTCAAAGCTGGGCGCGTCCGCCTTGCATACGTCACTGGCCGAGTGTGGTAGCCAGGAGGCTGATTCAGCGTGTTCCTACTGTACCTGAGACGGTTGAGATTTGAATTTGTGCTTGTTGACTTTTGACTGCTGTGAAACATTCGCTCGTTCACAGAGTCGGTTGGCTGATAGATTGAAGCTCCTTCTGTTTGTGCCTGGCCTCAGGAACGATACTCCAGAGTCGTAGCTCTTCTCCCGCGTTACAAGCGGCCTTTGGGCAGCACCACCAGCGTGGAGGCGTGTGCTTTGCCTTCGCTGCATTCAGACGAAAGGATGTGCACACAGGTCGGCAGATACGATGCTATAATGCTACAGACTGTTAGACGAGTAACTCATTTGAAATTGCCGGTAAACAGCAGTTGTGCTCAGGTATGCATGGCAATGGTACTGCGATGTTGTCATTGTTATTGTTACGATTGCCTTGTCGGACTAATGCTTACCTCGTTTCCCTGCTTGTTACTGAAAGGAAAAAGCTCCGGTTGTAAGTATGATCATTTGTGCGCTACTGGTTATACCGACTATTGCGATTATTGTTTGTTGTTGCTGCAGTTACATTGCTGTGCATGTGAGTGTGCCCTTAATGCTAATGCCACTGTTAAATGATAATGCTAATGTTAACGTTAGCGTTATGCGTCATGATGTTGTTATGTAGCTATGGGTATTGTTGTTTTCTGCATGTCATGTTATCAGAAATGTCACTGTGACTAATACTGGTGTAAGCCCTCCTTATTATTATGATGTTCAATATCCTTCGTGTCATTTATAGTATTGGTTATCATCCTGTTAATTTTACTGACAATTAGGGATTTTATCTTTAAATAGTGGCGGTGGTCGTGGTAGTGGTAGTGGTAGTTGCAGTAGTCGTCGTCGTAGTTGTAGCTGCAGCCGAAGTGACGAAGTCGTAGCCGCCGTCGTCGGCGTCGTCGTCGTTGTCGTCGTCGTCGTCGTAGTCGTCGTAGTAGTAGTAGTAGTAGTAGTAGTAGTATTGCTATCATTATTGGTTGTTGTCGTTGCAGCAGCAGCAGCAGCAGCAGCAGCAGCAGCAGCAGCAGCAGCAGCAGCAGCAGGCAGCAGCAGCAGCAGCAGCAGCAACAGTGACACTCATTATCACCTTCGTGGGTACTTGCTCTTGTCCCACTGCAGACAGTGTCATGTTTATGTCGCTGATCGCGTATTCTCACCTGATGCCAGTCATGCTTTCCCTACAGTTTGATGCTGTGTTCTTGCCAGGTGTTTGAGGATCCGGAAGAGCGACAGGCTGGGGAGGACAAGGGGCCAAGCACCAGTCGTAGTTTGGTATTTCAGAAATACGGCAAATACGCAGTTAGACTTCCTTTGGGCCAAGGAGCAGGGATTGGGGCTGTAGTGCAGAGTTCAGCAGATACAGCGTTGGACGTTCTTGAGCCTCACGGGTTCGCGGTCTATGTTGTCGGGATTACCCCACCTGACAAGAGGAGCTCAAGAACACATGCCGGCTCAATCTCGCTGCCTGCGTGCCTTGGACGCAAACCCCATCAGAGCTCTCTCTCTCTCTTTTGTTTCTCTGTGTCTCGCATACACAGTCTTAACTGTAACGAGTCCCATAGCCATCGTCATACCCATGTCTACAACTACAAGACTGCTTCACATTTTCAATTTGCAGGTATGGTCGGCGCTCGACACCATGCATTGTAAGCTCTTGAAATGGCCACACTTTGCACAGTTCCGCCGTGCGCGAGCGCAAGAATGGGGTTTTGTGATCTTATCGCACCCATGATCCGGGCCAGAGCCTGTTTTTGTGCGAAGGCCTTGAAGCTTGACCTTGCCTACTCTGCTGCTCGCTTTTGCGATGAGGTCCTGAAGGAGGTCGGCTGCTTGGAAACACCACCGCAAGATAATGCACCCGAATCATGATGAACAGATGGGTCGATGAAGATCTATATATCTCTATAGTTCTCTCTCTATATTTATCTCTGTATATACACACACATATATATATATAACATACACATATATATATAGCCAAGACTATCTGTATGTGTGTGTATTTTTGTTGAGGGGCGGGTGGTGATTAAATGGAAGAGTTCGGTCCTTCGTTCTGTTATCCGAACAACCTCTCTCCAGCCCCTAAGCGATCCAGCCGTCCCAACCCCAGGCCTCATTTCGAAAAAGGACATTGATGCCTGAGTTGTGGCGGCTGTTTCGTCTCGTGCTGATAAGACACTATGGGTCATCGGTACCATAGCAACTGTTACTATCATAACTAATATTTCTAGTCGCAAATCAAACCTGATTCGATTTCTGGTACTTCACGTCCTGCAAGAATAAGATATTGTTTTGCACAGCCGCTTGGCACAGGCAATGGCTCCGTGCATATTGCTTGTTTGGGTGCTCAGCCCACCGAACCATTGCAATCCAGGACGACCTCCCCGCCCCCACACACACACACACCCACACCCACCCACGCACAGAGAGAGAGAGAGAGAGATTCTGACAGAGCACACTTGCATGCATCGCCGATAAACATCACTGTAGTGGCTCCTCGCTTTCCGATTCTGTGGTACCTGGAGTTGAGTTCATCCTAAACTTGCGGTAGTTGTAATCGGGTCCTCGCTTCTGGGATTAGAAGGCTTATAATCAGGCTAGACTCGCTAGACTCCAGATACCGTTCCTAGGCTCAGGGTGGGTCGGACGAGATGAAGGGGTCCGTTAAGGCTTGTGTTGGAGATATTGGAAACATCATCCTAAACACACTCACACATTTTGCTGGAGACTCACCCGGATTGTTCTTCTGCAGAGCCTGCACCCCACTCCCCGAAATCCCTACCCCCGCATCATCAGGACCCAAAGAACGTCAAAGCGCTCTACCGGCGTGCTCAGGGCCTGCTAGGGTCCAACGATTTCGAGGAGGCGGATTTTGTGGCAGTTGGATCGGTTTACTGTTGTCATCTGGCAAGTCACATACCTTAAGGCATAGGGTTTAGGGTTAAGGCAGAAAGACCCTGAACACGGTAAGGTCCAAACCCTAAAAGCCCTTGTCCGAGTCAGAGCCGAGAGCCCTCAACCACATGCCTCGCCTGGATTGTCCGAGTGTGAGTGCCGAAAGCCCTAAACCAAGCACTATAAACCCTTCAGCCTTCGCAGCAGTCGGAAAAAAGGTATCAACAAAAAAACCTCAACGCCCAAACAGATGGAAACGCCAAACCCCTTACCTTTTTGCCATGCCTGCGCGCGCGAGTGTGTGAGTCGAACCTTTAGACATTCAGACTCTGACTGCGCAAGAGACCCAAGCAGTGGAGGCCCAGCGCGACTGCAAGGCTGTCCTCGAGATCGAGCCGGCTAACAAAGCCACCCGGGGTATAGGGTTTAGGGTTTCGAAGGGGCTGACTTCAGGGTGTTTATACAAGTCCTATAAGGGCATCGGGGGTTATTCTAAAGGCTCTATGAGGGCTACTATGAGGGTCGTTTTTTCGGGCTGTCGGGATGCTTTCGGGTTCTGGCGGAGCTAGGTGAAGGGTGATTAGTGACAATGGGTTTCGGATGGGTTCAGGGTATATGTTTTGATGTTTGTCTGGGGCTTGGGGACAAGGTTCGTTGCTTTTGTCTTGAGTACTGTTTCTGTCAGGGTTAGGGCTTTACACTGGAAAGGGCTTTTGGATGCGGTTTAAGCTGTAGGCCTTGGGGTTCGGGTGTCGCGAAGAAGTTGTAGGTGGAATTGAAGTTCCGAAGATTCCGGATCTTGTTGACCACCTTCGCTTGAAACTTCGCCGGAGCACCTTGCAGGTAGGGTTGCCCTGCGGCAGTTCGGGCTACTACTCACCGTGCGGAAGATTCGTTTGCCACTGTATTGCAGTGGGCATGCATCCTTAGAACCTTAAGCTTCTGCTACGGTTTAGGGTTAGGGCTTAGTGAAACTTAGGGTGGATAAGGCTTTTCCTTTACGGCTTGGGGCTTAGAATTTAGGGTTTAAGGCTCAGGGTTAAGGGTTCAGGGTAAGCCCGGGGCGCATCCAATCGCTGCTAGGACGCCCGACTTCTCATGCAGAAGGTCCGGCAGGCCGAGAAGGTGGGCCCGGTCGTCCGGTGATTGACAATAATAATATATAGTATTGGGTTTCCTTATGAGCAATATAGTAATTAGAATCTACCCCAGAGCGTTTGTTGGGTTTCCTTATGAATGAGTATTGTAAGTAATTACAATCTACCCCAGAGCCTTAGTCGATCCATTTCGGGTTATAGAGGCCTCCGTATTCAAGACGTAGGGGCTTGGGGTAGTCAATAGGCCTCGGTCGGCGACTTTCAGGAGCAGCTGAAGATGCAGAAGGAGCAGTTTGGAGCTTCCCTGGTGAGAAAGCTGGCATAGGAAGCTGAATTCGTGCTTAGAGCCCGGGCAGAAGACCTGCTGTGCTTACACATCCGACCGATATACCAGCCTAGCTTGGGGGGGGCACGCTGAATGAGGTAACGCTACGCAACTGCACCGCGGAGCAAAGTGTTCAAAGTTGGGCTTAAGGTTTACTATGCGCAAGACATGACGAATCACCAACAGTTTGGCGGCTACCTCGTTTGCTGCCCGCCCATCTCATCTCGCAGCTGAACGTAAAACAATGAATAAATTTCCCAGTGAACACCCCTGTGTTACCGCCTTACTTGTATTACAGTATGCGCCCCGGCAACAGTGTCAGCGAAAGCTTAGATCGATGGTTGGAACCACACGACCACCAGGCGAGGACGAGCAGCTCGGACCTTGCACATGCTTGCGCTTCTGCCGTGTAGCTGAGAGTGTCAAGTCGCATGCATGGCTAAGGCTAAGGTAGAGTAAAGAGCAATGGGGATGGTCGATTTTTTTCTCCCCATCCCCCAAAACAATCAACAACACAGACACCCAAACACCCCTCTGTGGTAGACCCAGCAGGATGTCAGCACCGCGACGAAAATACCATGCCGGACCATGGTTGACCAGTCATCACAAGACTTGAATCTATACACCAAAGTCCTGAAGCGGCTGTATATAGAAAGATCCCAAAAAGGGTCCAGCGATGTGATGCCGGCCCCTTCGATGGCAAGCGTGACAGAGTGCACGGTGCAAGTCGATTGTCGCTTCCTTGCATTTAGTTTCATCTGTTCATTCACCAGGTCGGCAGACATGATCGTAGGGGAAAAGCTGACTTTTGCGCTGGGTATGGTCTGGGCTTGAGAGGCATCTGAACGGAAGTTAAAGGGCACTCCGAACCTGGCGATGCAGGTCTGCATGGGATACGGGCTTCAGCTATGGCCCCGGTGATGAAGTAGAAGGACTACATGATATTTAGACTTGTGTGTTCGAGCCTGAGAACCCTCCAAAATGCAAGCCGAAAGAGGTGCATGCCACTGGACCAAGCAGGTACGAACCCCCTTTATAACGGCAGAACGACTTGTCCGTCTTTTCAAACTTCACCCGGCTTCAACTGCAACACCATCGTTTGCTTGAGGCTTCTCTCGTGGTCTCATCCAGGGGATCTTGACGTGGAAGAACGGCAGGGAACCAGTGGCGCAGCTTCAACGGTCGAGAGACAGCGACAGGGAGGGTGCGAGAAAGAGAGCGAGAGCGAGAGAGAGAGAGAGAGAGAGAGAGTTGACTAGATCTGCCCGCGAGTCATGGACAGGCGAACTTCCCTCTTGAGCCTGTAGTACAGCCCCCGGATTGCTACCTGGGCGTCTGCCAAATTCGAGTGTCTCACCCCATTCTCCGTAAGTCTCGGGCAAGAAATAGCAAAAGGAAGGTTTGTTCTGTGAGTTCGGGCGGTTGTGCTGGCCAGTCGAAGTAAGGCTCAGCGGATCCACTGTTGCTTAGTAGAGCTGCTTTTGAATGGCGGGATGTCACGTTATCTTTCAGAGTTTAGGGGTTTGAGGTTTAGGGCATCGGCTGTCCTTAGTACTGTACTTGTATTCAAGAAGGGAAGGTCTTAGTCTAAGCTTCTTAGCTGGCGCAATGGAGCTTGAGCCCCACATAGAGAGAGAAAGAGAGAGAGAGAGTGAAAGACAGAGAGAGAGAGAGAGTGAGATATATATATATATATGTATGTACATATAGATCATGTGTATATATATATAGCATATATATATATATAGACATAGATATAGGGAGTATATAGTCAAGAATGCAGAACAAGCACAACCTTTCACAGCAGCACAAACTAGCCCCGTAAGCCTTAAGCGAGCCCGAGACCCGTTAACTTAACTTAAGCCCTTATATGCTCTAAACCGTGGAAAAGTCAGGTTGAGTTCAGCCTCTTTGAGCTCCGACCCGGCAACATTGTGGTCGATGACGTCTGCCGAGGCCGCTTCTTCCGTTGTTGCTAGAAAAGGTGGTATGGGGTCTAAAGTTCAGTGTTTGTTCGATTTTCCGCTTGGGCTTGCGGCGGTAGCGCAGTAACCACAACTCCTTGGATTGGTCAGTGTAGAAGGTATTTGTGTCTGGTTGCTTGGTATGATTTTGCACAGGATCCGAGCACGAAGCCCCGCGAACAGAGTCGTGCGAATCGAACCACTGCATTTGCAACTGGAACAGAACTTGGCAGATTCTTGGGGGCCTCTGTCTGCAGAACGTGTTGGTCCAAAAGTTCTGTTGAAAACCCCTGGTGGCGCCGACCTGTCCGAATCTATCCCCGACTTCCCAAAAGACAGAGAAACCAGGTTTGGGTGCGGAATGGTGCGGATATCAGAGACAGATCCGAAAAGCAGAATTGCTGCACAAACGATTCGGATTTTGGGCACCAGCGCTCTGCCTCAGGACCGGCTCTCTTCGCCAAGATTTCCTGGCGCCTTGTTGCCTCCACTGGTGCAGCCGACCGTCTCGCCGAAATACGAAAAGGTGCCTCTGCTTGTGCCTCTGTGCAGTAGCTCGCCAGCGCGGGACGTTTCTGTGCACGTAGCAGGCCAGGCCAGATCAGCAGTTTCACTCTCCAGCTTCCAACGATCATTTTGCAACAGTGACCTGGGCACTCCAGCAACATTGCTAGGCTTAGTTTAGTCCCTGTTCTCACTCATCTTGACGATTCTGAGTATCATCACTGCTGTCCCTTGCTGCTGTGGTACAAATCCTTGCCGTGCACATGGTGCACGGTACGCCAAGTTGGCAGTGTACCAGAGCAGAGATGCACAGCATTCAGGAGTATCGGGTATGCGGCAAGAGGATGCATCAGAACGAGCTATAGGTGGCTCAGTCGGAGACTGCTCTGGACAATTCACTTGCCGTCGTGATCGGCGATGCATTGAACACCCAAAGCCCGCTCTTTAGAAATGCGATTGTTCAGGTGACAGGCTCGTCTTCGCGAGCCCTAGCTGGGTGCTTGCTTTTTGCGGGGTAGCTTGGCTGCCGTGGTCATGGTTAGTTCGGCGTTGTCGGGCTTTCGCTTGCTTGTTCTCGTGTGTATAGGCCCGATCCAACCGAGGCGGCTACCCAGGAAGACCGAAAGCCGGCTGTCCCGCTGCTCGGCGCATGCTGCACAGGGACAGCTGTATAGGTGTTTTGGGACATCGGGCCGGTCTCGTATGGGCGGCCTCTATGACGGATGTCGGGCACGAGCTGTTGTGTGAATCGATGCGTGAATTGCTTGGCAAGCCCAGGGCACGCCGCTACCTCTGGTTGTTCAGGGCAGAAGCCCCCAAGGTTTTCAGAGAGTCCGAAGATATTCCAACCTTTGCTTAGGCGGACACCCCCAGAGCCGAGCTGGCAAGAGGATGTCTGCCGAGCCAGGCCTGTGGTACCCAAGCTTGCTTCTCGGTCGCAGAAGCCTTTCAGGCCTGATTTTGTTGGGATTTAGGAGGGCTTAGTAGTACCTGGTTTCGGGCGACGTCCGGAAACCATGCAAAATCCCCAGCTTTGTTGTTGCAGTTCATCTTCAAAACATGTCTCTCCTACTTTCAGATAGCAACACAGTACCTGAGTCGAGACCGAAGGATTCCGGAAGCCCCCCCCCCCAAAAAAAATCCGTAGCGCGAAGCCAGGCTTGGGAACTTACGTACCGTATGGCTCTCGGGCTCTGGAGGAAGGGGTCGGTGCTTTTAAGCTTCAGGGTTCGAGGTCTGTAGGGTTGCAGCCTCGACTTTGACTTATAGTCTCAGGTCCAGGTAGCTAGATAACATCCATCAGATGCTCCCCAAATGGTCCCTAAACCCCGCAAAGCTTAAACCCTACACCTGAAACCCGAAATCCCCTAGTCCACACTCCCGGTCGTCAGGATTTCACTCGGCTCGGATCGCAGCAGAAGAGGGGCTTCTTTGCAGACTGCCGGCAGGTGACGAAGTGCACTGACTTCTCACAGTGTCTCTAGGATGCTCAGCTGCATGTTCGTACTCGCACTTCAAGGCCACAAGGTCCTATACATTTTGAAGGCCAGAGCAAGAAGGGCAAACAGAGGGAGAGAGGCAGCGAGTGCATCTTAGTTCGGCTCCTGATGTTCCATGTCCGGCAAGATCAACTTCCAATTCATGCACGGCACGACAAGCTCCATACATGGAGCAATGTACAAAGGAGCGGCACAGGCCCAACAAAAGAGACCGTGCCTGGCCCGGACTTTAGCAAAAAAACCAGGCCTCCAAGAGACTCCCAGGTTGTCAGTGTCAGTTGTGACGCCGCTGGTACAAGCTTATAAGAAGTGGTAGCAGTATATAGGTTCCGTACGTCTGGTCGCACTGCGTTGCATAGCCGAGATTCTACTTCCCACACCAAACTCACATCGTCCACTCAAGTTATTCTTTGCGGTCCCGATAGGCATCTCACGATCAGACCGTCTCCCTTGATGCCGCCGCAGCCTCAGCCATAGGGCTTTCATCCCTTTTGTTGCCACTACAACTACTACCACCACCACCACCCAACAGTACGGTTGCTGCTGCTGCTGGTGTTCAAAGCTGAGTTTATCATTCAGCACTCACATCGGGGAAGCTGGAGAGCTCCACGGACAGCTCGGCAATCATGCCACACGGTCTTTGCACGTGTCGCTTGCGAAGTGAGAGTTGCTTATTCCGATGTCCCTGTACTGTCGATGGAACTCTTTGTTTTGGCGATCGCTCAAAGCCTTCTGAAGACGCTGCCCCACAGGTTTGCGTAGGTCAGCAGAATCACAGTGGTGCACATGGAAACTTGCTTTGTGCCGCGCCAGGCTGTTGTCAATGCTGCAATGCTATATAGAGACCACAGTCAGCTTAAACGAGACCTGATCACGAGGCCCTGAAGCTTGCAGAAGGAGCTCGAAACGAGGCAGGTTCCGGATCAGTGCGTTGAGAGAGGCTAACCTGCAAGTGCCTATGAGGAACATGAGGAGCATATAGGAGCGTCTTGTTGGGAGTGTTCATCTTGGCGAATACTCATTCGTCTTTATT